GGTATTTTCACGCAAATTCTTCTGCTAGTTGGGGTTTAGTCCAAATCTGCATCCTTTCCTTCAAGGCTCAGGGGTCCAAGATTATCTTCTGTGTCTGTATTTATTGGTTTCCCTTTTCTTTGTTGAAGAGGGTCTGCGCAATCCTTCTGCCTAGTCCGCCATCTTGCCCCGCCTGTTGAGGCTTTTTCATGTCAAGCTCGAGGCTTTTCCAGACTCTTGCAGCCTCAGGGTGAGGAGCTTAAGGCTGGCAGGCAGTACACTGGCTGTTGACTCCAACGAATGATGAATCCAAGATCTTCAGGCCGAATGGTAGATTGTTCACTCACAGACAGTTGTAGGGAGCACAACAGAATCCCAATCCACAGAGGAATGTGTCTTTTCCCAAGATGTCCATAGATATACTGGAAGCAGGCCACACCTCTAGGGAAACTCCCTTTCAACAGATTGGCTGCTCAAAACATAATCATCTGATCCGTCATGGGAATAACCACATCACAGTAGCTTAAACCATACAGAATTGTGGTCCAGCCAAGTTGACACACAGCTCCAACTACTACAACTTCAATTTCCCACAATCAATGGCTCCCCATAGTTCCTCCCCATAGTTACCTCTTCCCTGTGTCCTTTCCTCCCATGCACTCCTACCTGCTGAGCTGTCTCCCTGTACATACACAGTCTTCTATTCTCCCATGATTGATCTCTCCCAGGAGTGTATCTACCTAATGTAAGTGTTCAGCTCATATACCTATCATTTGTTTGGCAGGAAGCCACGGGAGTTGGTTCAATTCCAGACCTGAAGGGCAGCTGGGGGGCCATAGTCTCAGTACTTCCTCCAGTTTCTGTCATATCAACAAACCTTGTGCCCCACTCCCCCTTTTTTTTAAATGATTGAGTTTTGTTGCACATTGTTCTCCCATTCTATCCAGGATCTCCTACACAGATTGCCCTCCGAGTAGTTGACAATGGTAACTGGGTACCATCTAGTTCTTCTGGTCTCATAGCTCAGGATTGCATGGTATGCCAGTCACTTGGATTAATTATTTTGATGTGTCTTTGGTTTTCTTCATTCTTCTTTGCTCTGGATGAGGAGAGACCCATCATTACATCTAGATGTCCTTTTGCAAGCTTTTAAGATCCCAGTCACTACTTGCCAAACTAGGATGTGGAACAATGTTTTTGTGTAGTATGTCATGCCAGTTGAGCTTGATGTCCCCTGAGGCTATGGTTCCGAGCCCACAGGTCCAACTACTTGCTCCCTCTGGGTAGCTGGCTATGGTCAAGAAGTGACTACAACCTTGTCCCTTGTCCGCTGTACTATATACCTGGGAATTCTTATAAAATATACAGATACACTATTAGAAACATTGTCTGCCAACCCTGTACATGGTCATGTGTCCCAAAACTTTTGATCCCCAAATTATGTCCCAGTGTATTACTCTTAATACCAAGGGTTGTTTTATACTGCTAATTCCCAAAGATTGTTAAAACAAAAGCTCTCAAATGAATGGTATTTGAAATAATTTTTATTCTTCTGTTTTGATTTAGAAGTCTTCATGAGAATTCAAAGTCTGTTTTTCCCTTTGATGGAGGTCTTACTTGATACTCAGTGTTCTTTCTGTACTTTAATGCATATAATTAAATCCAGTTTTTTCATAATTATTTTTTTCTTCTCTTTCAGCACTCTAGTTTTTACTGTGTTGTTGTTGTTATGTGCCATTGAGTCAGACCCAACTCATAGCCACCCCTCCTTGGGTTTTCAAGGCAATATCACTGCGGAAGTAGCAAAAGGTATATATTTTTACAGCTAATAAAGATTGGAGAGAACACATAGAATTTACTTCTCCTTTGGAACAAGGTGCTTTAAGCCACTGCTTTGTGCAAGATAAGGTGCTATATGTCTTTTTAAAATAAAAATTGTCAATATATATATGGATAATAAAGTCCTAAATAGAATATTTGGAGCTGTTTCAAAAAGAGTAACATCTGGAATGTTCTGCTAAGAAGTCTTTTAAGCAATATTTCCTGTATGGACATAATAGATACATAACTCTAAATTATATGTATATATTATTTCCTTTTATATACAGAACAAGCATTAAATATTCACCCTCAGGGGAGACAGATGGCACTAGATTCCTGGTCATTTGTGATGTGGCCCTTGGGAAGTGTATGGACTTGTGCAAGAGAGATTTTTCATTAACAGAAGCCCCACCAGGTTACGACAGTGTCCATGGAGTCTCACAAACTGCAACTTTTGTCACAGACTTTGAGGTATTTTTATCAAGAAGTAGGCAAAGAGTGTCAACTTTTTCATCCTCTTTTTATTAAGTGTAAATAATTATTTTATATCTTCTGTCTGGATTAAATATTGCCTAAATTATTAAATATGAAATTGTATTTTATAAGAACACTTGCCAACAAAGATGTTTTATTTTTTACCACTTAATTTCTGTTTGGCCTAGGATGATGAATTTGTTGTGTATAACACCAATCAGATTAAACTGAAGTACATTATTAAATTTTGCCTTCCTGGAGATCAGATAAAGAACTTTCATCCTTGTGGTAATACTGAATTGGAGGAATACATACCTGCGTCTTCAAATTTTTCAAAGGTTGAAGGTAAGATCATTTTCTTTACTGTGTATAGAACTCAAACATTGTGTTTTCAGTCGGTTTTATCTTCATGTTTGGTATGTATATCTGTGACCTCATGCCTAAATATTTCCTTTTTATTTTATACAAATAAAAGCTAGAATGCTTGAGAGAAGTTACCAAAAAAAAAAAAAAACCCAAATTCATTGTCATTGAGTTGGATCAAACTCATAGTGGCCCCTCCTTGGGTTTCTGAGGCTATATCACTACAGAAGTAGATTGCCCAACCTTTCTTCCAAAGAGCGGACTGTGGATTTGAACCACTACCCTTCTGGTTAGCAGTCAAATGCCTTAGGTACTCCACCACCAGAGCTCCTGAGAGAGGTTAAGTGATCTCAAAATCACATACATGTTAGTTTATTAGCACATCTGTGTTTAACTTGTCCATTCCAGGATAGCTAATCCTGAAACCCACCGAACAATTTTAAAGATGTCGAAGTACACAAAGTATAATGGGGGTTGGTAGAATGGAACGAAGACACAGTTTTTTAATCAGAAAGCTTGAGTTTGAGCAATATTCTGGTTACCTAGTGCCGCTCTGACAAGAATATACTACAAATGGGATGGCCTTAACAAACAGGAGTTTATTCCTACAATTTGGAGGCTTTAAGTTCAAAGTGCCAGGCTCTAGGAGCTGGGTGAAAGCCCCTCAGCTTTGGGGTCCAGCTCTGCCTCCTGCTCCTGGCCCACTGGAGCTAAAGGTGTTTCTTCACTCAGACAGCTCCTGGCTGCTGAGGCTTGAGAAGCCCCAAGGTTGAGAAATAAAAAGGCACAGTCCTGATGTTACCAAACCACACGGCAGGCCATTAGCTTAAGTCCATTGTAAGTCCCAAGGTCAGCAGAGCATAGCAGGCTGCTGAAGACATGGCTACATTCATGGTCCAAGCGTGCCATAGGCTAGGGACCATTCCCAAGGCTTTTCCTTAAATACAAGAAGCAGACCATATCCTAAAGGCAACTGACTCAGCTGCTTGTGGTAGATCTCACGATGAAGTTGATTGCCAGTCTCATCATGGGAATTAACTACCATCAGCTACCCAGCCACTCAACCAGGCCCATCCAAGTTGACACACAACATAACCACCACAAGCATCAATGCTGCCATTTTTTAGGTTGTGTAATCTTGAGCAAGTCATATAATCTTTCTGAGCATCATCTTTCTGATGGGAATGATAGCAATACTTGCTTTGCAGTATTCCTGTAAGAGTTAATGGGGATAAATTAAGATACTCTATATATCTTAATGTATGCTTTATGTATTTTAGTAGTACAGATATATGAGAGGCTGATAGCGTCTCAGAAAATGCTAAATTACAGACCCTAAAAGTATAATAATATTAATTAGTAGAATTGTAAAAACACCTTAAAATTTTTTTAACTATGATAAAACATTTTTATTAGAATATATGAGCACATGTATGTTCAAGATGACTAAATTTTTGTTTAGGAGTCATTAAATAAAATATGTGGCAAAATAGTTTGTATATGTAGTTAGCCATATTTCTGAACTGCCTAGTATAATACTTGAATATTTTTCAATATGTTGTATTAGGAATTTGATTTAATTGTTCTTGAATTAAAAAGTCTATTTAATTTCGTGATGCTGCAAAAATGCCTTAGTGGCAAAATATGTAATAATGACTACTACAAGTTGAGGAATACAGATATCTGATTCATGCTTAAGCTTCACTTACTAGATATTTTAATACCATTGTGTATGTTTAAATCAGTATCTTTCAAGTAATAGCATGATTCTGTGTTTTCAAGATGACTCCCAGAGTCTCTGTATTAAGAAGGCAGAAGTTTTTTTTTTAAATGCTGTCTCCATTTTTCTTGTGATCTTGTACTTGAGTGGGGTCTCTGGATGGTGCAGATGTTTAACAGGCTTGACTCCTAACTGAAAAGCCTGTGATGTACTTCTGAAAAATCAGCCATGAAAACCCTCTGGAGCATAGTCTTACCTTGACACACATGGGGTCACCCTAATAAGTTAGGGTTGACTTGATGGCAACTGGTTAGGTAATTGAATTAACTTACTTTTCAGAATTTGCTATTGAAAATGATCAAATACTGTTGTCATAAAATATAAAGGGAAGGGGAAGGAGTGAAAACCAAGATAACAAAAATAGACCATCCAAATACAGTTTTAAAAATTAACATAAACATTTTTAACACGTAGATTACCAGTTACCAGATTCCAAACATTTCAGCAACATCAAAGCTGGTCTTCAGGATACCTCTGGGAATTTAGTTCCTCTTGAGGATGTTCACATCAAGGGGAGAATAATAGACGTTGTAGCCCAGGTATGCTGTTTGTGGTTTTATGGTACTCATACTAAATGGATGGTAATCATAAATGAAAATTTGATTGCTATTGCATGAACTAAACAAAATATATACTTTTCTAAATTCATGTACAAATGTTCATTGAACACCCCCTATGTACTAGCTGCTGTTCCAGGCCCTGGATGTACGTCAGGGAACAAGACAAAAACTCTATCCTTATAGAACTTGCATTCTATTGGGGGAATAGCCAATAACCATGATAAATAACTAAAAAATGTACAATAAAACCTGTGAAATCCAGAACCTGTATAAGGCGAAAACCTTTCAGAGAAGGAAAAACTCTTATTTCCCGCAAAAATGACAGCTAGAAAGTGGTAAGAGTGCAACTATCAAAGGTGGAAAACTTGTAAGATCCAGAAAGACAAAGCAGTCTCATTTAGTTCTGGCTCTCACAGGTTCCACTGTAATATGTCAAATGACAGTATTTTCCAAGGAGAAAAATCAAATCAGCAAGTGGATAAGGATTACACAGAGGGAGGGGCACTGAACTTTTAAATAGGATGGCCAAGGAAGGCCTCACTGAGAAAGGGACATCTGGGTATAGACCTAAGGAGATGGGACATTAAGCCATTAAATAGCCAGAGGACACACATTCTAAGCAGAAAAAACATCACATTCAAAGGTCCTGAGATGAGAGTGAACCTAATGTGTTCAAGGGACATCAAGCAGGTCACTGGGTTGGAGCAGAGTATGAAGGGGGAGAGGAGAGTAAAATTGGTCAGAGAGGAAAGTGGGTCTGTACATTATGTAAGAATGTAGGACTTTGGCTTAATCTGAGTGAAAGTAGAAGCCTTTAGAAAATTTTTTGCAAAGGAGTGATCTGACTGTGTCTATATATTAATGGAATCGCTTTGGCTGCCATGTTGAGAAAAGTCTGAAGAATGTCATGTAGGAGACATGTTAGGTCAAATTCCCTAGAATGCAGACTCTTGATGGAAGTATGCTCTTAGGACCAACACCTGCAAGGGAGTTAGTAGCATAGGATCTGGCTGAGGGAGAAGTTGAAATCTGACATAATCACAACAGAGCCTTAAATAATCTCCAGGGGAACTCAGAGTCTAGGATGGCCCTCTGGAGGTGTTCTAAGTTGAAGCAATGGGGCTAGGCTTTGTACTCCCACATAGACTAGTCACTAGAAATTGGCTGCCCTTGAGGAAGGGTCATAATTTTGAGTGAGGCAGTTTGTCTTTGATGAGGACAATTACTAGGTAGAAAGGGACTTAGGCAACACTCATACCAGCATCACATATAGGAGGAAGATTATTTAAGTTATTCAGTCAAGGAGGTTGGTGACTTGGGCAAAAATGTGAGCAGTGGAATTGGTAAGGAGTGATTGAATTCTGGCTGTGGATTGAAGGTAGAACCAATGAGATTTACTTATTGATAAGGGGTAGAAAGAGAGCTCTGGTGGTGTAATGCCTAAGGCATCTGACTGCTAACCAGAAGGCTGATGGTTCAAACCCACCAGCTGTTCCTTGGATGGAAGATTGGGCAATCTACTTCTGTAGTGATACCACCTCGGAAACCCAAGGAGGGGGTTGGTATGAGTCAAATCCGACTCAAGGGCAGTGAGTTTTTTATGGGGTAGGAGAAAAAACAGGAGTCAGGATGACTCCAAGATGTTTGGCCTCAGCAAATGGAAGGACTGATTGTGTTTCCACTTCCTGAAATTGTGATGACAGTAGGAGAGAAGGTTGAGGGGACTATCTCTTAGATGGAAACGTTAGGTATTATAGACATGGGTCTAGACTTCAGGGAAGAGATTCAGGCTGGAGAGGCAAACTGGGGAGTCATCAGATTTAAATGTTTGACTTAAAGCCATGAGACCAGATTAGAAAACCCAGAGAAGCACTATAGAGAAAAGAGATGACTAGCACTTAAAGATCTGGGGCATGAGACAGAATCAACAATGATACTGAGTTGTTGTTGTTGTTATGTGCTGTCGAGTCGGACCCGACTCATAGCGACCCCTCCTTGGGTTTCTGAGGCAGTGTCACTACATTGCCCCATCTTCCTTCCGAGGTATACTGAGAGGATACTGAGAGGGAGCAGCTAAGTACTCTGGGAAATTGATCAAGGAGGAAATAATGATCAACTGTTTCAAAATGCTTATTGTTGTTTTTGTTACATGCCATCGAGTCACTTCGAACTTGTAGTGAACCTGTGTACCACAGAATGAAACACTGCCTGGTCCTGTACCATCTGCATAGTCATTGCTGTTTATGAGTCCATTGTTATAGCCGCTGTGACATTCACCTTGTTTATGGTCTTCCTCTTTTTTGCTGACCTGCTGCTTTACCAAGCATGAGATTCTTCTCCAGGGAATGACCCCTCTTGATAACATAGCTAAAGTACATGAGATGAAGTCTCACCATTCTTGCTTCTAAAGAGCAGTCTGGCTGTACTTCTTCCAAGACAGATTTATTCATTCTTAAGTCAGTCCATAGTATATTTACTGTTCTTCACCAATACAAAGGCATCAATTCAAAAGCATCAATTTTTCTTCAGTTTTCCTTATTCATTATTGAGCTTTTGCATCCTGATGAGACAGTTGGCTTGGGTCAGACACCCCTTAGTCCTCCAAGTGATGTCTTGGCTTTTTAACACTTTAAAGAGGTCTTTTGCAGCTGATCTTTTCAAGGCAATACAGTGTTTGATTTCTTGACTGCTGCTTACATGGGCATTGATTGTGGATCCAAGTAAAATTAAATGCTTGACAACTTCAGTCTTTGCCCCATTTATCATGATGTTGCCTATTGGTCTAGTTATGAGGATTTTTGTTTTATTTGTATTGAGGTGTAATCCATACTGAAGGCCATACATAGTCTTTGATCTTCATCAGTAATTATTTTAAGTCATCTTCACTTTGAGCAAGCAGAGATGTGTCATCTGCATATCATAGGTAGTTAATGAATCTTCTTCTAATCCTGATGCAGTGGTCTTTTTCTTAGTGTCCAGCTTTTCAGAATATTTGCTTAGCATACAGATTGAATAAGTATGGTGAAAGAATACAGCTTTTACTTCACTACCACTGGTTCTTGATCATATGCTACCTCCCAAAATGGATGATTGTCTACCAATTATTTTTGGTATATTGACTGTATTCCTTCCATCTTTTATTTATTTATTTTTAATGACATTTTTCATGTTGTGCCACCATTATTGCTATCCTTTTCTGAAATATTCCACCAGCTATTAGCATAAACTCAGTGCCTCCCAAACAAAAGCTTCCCCTTCCCCTCTCCCTCCTACCCTGGTAACCAACAAAGAAAGTTTCCATCTATGTATAAAACTTTCCTTGATTTTTTTTTTTTTTAATTGTGATTTGGGTGAAGATTTACAGAGCAAATTGACTTTTCATACAGCAGTTGACGTGTACTTTGTCTCATGACATTGACCACAGTTTACCATATTGCAACAGCTCCCCTCCCACTTCCTCCCCATAGTTACCTCTTCCCAGTGTCCATCCTTCCATGGACTCCTGCCCCCTGAGCTGTCTCCCTGTGCATAGGCAGCCCTTCTTTCTCCCATGGTTGTTCTCTCCAAGGAGTGTATCTAC